ACAAAAACAAACAAACAAGCATGTGAAGACGGTACATTGGAGGAACTCATGATTAGGGAATCGAGTATTACACGTGGTCGAGAATATACACGGAATTAGTGAGAAAGTGACAATAAGGAATAAAACAAGGAATTCACAAAAATTACTCCTTGTTTTCCCAGTTCTGTCTCCTCCTGAAAAACGGCGCGGACGCTAACAGCAAGTTCTGGATAGGCCTGACGGACGTCGGGACGGAGGGACAGTGGCGTTACGCGGACGGGACGGCGGTGGTGGGATTCAACAAGTGGAATACCGTAAGTCCGGTCACCACTTTTATAATATAGCAATCGTCCTGTACTTTGGCCTTCATCAGGTATGAATGACCTACCGCTAGGGTTTAGGGACGGCGATGGTGGGATTCAACAAGTGGGGCGCCGTAAGTCCGGTCACCACTTTTATAGCACTCGTCCTGTACTGTGGCCCTCATCAGGTATGAATGACCTACCGCCAAGGTTTAGGGACGGCGGTGGTGGGCTTCAACAAGTGGAACACTGTAAGAGATTGCTGTATTTTAGCAATCAACTAGACTGCGTCCCTTACTGTGGCCTTCATCAGGTCTGAATGACCAATCACGTAGGTTGGTTATTCAACATGATGAAGACTTCAGACGTTGATGGTTCTGCACTGGTGAACTCCAATAAGGAAAACACTGTAAGACCAAGAAACTGCTTTGCAGACATCAGTTAGACTTCGCTCTGTACTCTGGCCTCCATCAGGTTTGAAAGACCAAGCGATAAGAGTTAGGGTCTGTGGTGCTGGGCTACATGTGGAATACCATAAGACCAGCCAACTGTTCTGTAGCTATCAGTTAAACTTCGTTCCGTACTGTTGCCTTCATCAAGTTCGAATGACCAATATGGTACGCACAAGGGTCCGCAGGGATCGGGCTTAAAAAGTGGAAAGTTGTAATTAAGGCCATTAGACAGCTTTGATGGCCATTGCCATTGGGGACTTCATGATTACTTGTGGAAACTCCGGGGTTCATTCCTTGCCTATGAAATCCGTTGAGTGATCTGCCAAGTCTTTGAAAGTTCTCTCATCGTTCACAACCTGTAGTGGAAAAGGTGATGAAGAACACATGAGCTTGAAAGCTAACCGTCACATTTGCTCCTAGGGGGAACCGAATAATTCCGGAGGGAACGAGGGCTGTGGCGAGTACCTCCCAGCCGGCAACGACATGTGGAACGACTTGAACTGCGCCAACCCGCAGAAATTCATCTGCCAGACAAGTAAGAAATTTGTTTAAAGTTAAAACTTTAGATCCAACACAAAAACAGTTCTCTCGCCTAGAACTTTCGACCAGTCACTCTGATATTCCTCAGTGGACCGACCCAGTTAGACTTGTCACGTGGCTTCTTTGAAGTGTGACGTCAACACTGGGTCAAAGACGACGTCGGCCCCCGTCGAGGTTGAGTGCACTGAGGAAGATCAGAGTGACTGGTCGAAAGCCTCTAGATGAAAGAACGTCTTTGTGTTGGATCGTAAGTTTTAACTTTAAATATGTAACTACCATATAGCATACCAGAAACAACTCACATACACAATGACAAAAAATTAAAGGTCTCCTGCAGTACCAAGGGAAGAGGCAAAAAGGCCCCAATTCAACCAAATTTATTTGCCAGACAAGACCGTACCTTGACTAAATAGTAAAAAAAAGGAAATTCTCCTGCAGTACCAAAGAAAGACGATAGGCCTAAATTGACCTTGACCTTTGTCCATTACTTACTCAAATACCAAGTGTAACCGATCAATAGCTTATTGACATATGTTGGCCAAAGAATGCGGAAACACAAATACACACATACACATTCAGACACACTAAAAAAAGTAGTAAACTATGACCCCGTGACCCAAAATTACAGAGAGCAAAGGATGTTGTCACCACAGGCTTGATTGATCATAAATGTACCATATAGAAATAACTTCAGAAACTGACAAACACATCCAGACACTACAAAGACACCATCATTATATGTCATTGCTATATTTTAACCAATCTTTCGTTTCTCGATTTCAGTTCTACCCTGAGGAAACCTGCCTTCCAAACAGTTCACGAATGACGTGGTGGAATGTACGTCAACGAGAGGCAGGAGAAAAGCAGATGTATTGATGTCGGACAAGCCAAATTGATTGCAATAAAAAGAGAAATAAACGCAATAAATGATCAATGCAAGTCGGAGCTTTAGTGAAGGCAAAGGATTTTGAAGGCCCTGTGTCTGTTTGCTTGATTGTTTGGGTGCATTTCTGTGTGTGTGTGTGTGTGTGTACACGTGTGTGTGTGTGTTTGTGTATGTGTGTGTGTGTGTGTGTGTGTGTGTGTGTGTGTGTGTGTGTTTGTGTGTGTGTGTGTTTGTGTGTGTGTGTGTGTTTGTGCACGTGTGTGTACATGTGTATGTGTTTGTGTGTGTGTGTATGTGTGTACATGTGTGTGTGAGAGAAGATAAGCTACATGTATTCTACAGAACAGAAATTTTCCTGGTCTACTACTTCCCTTTTTTTCCTTATGCCGTACAGTACACTACAACTACTTATCAGTCCTCTCCATCTTGCACAAGCTCAATTAGCGCGCAATTCTAATGCAAAATTGAGGGTGGTGCATTTGGGCGGTGAACTGGGGTCAGTTATCACCCAAACTACTACATATTCACAGGCATCAAGCCTGCCACAGGCTCATTACAATACCCAAGTGCCTCATTGTAATATTATAATGAGATCTTTGCTGGGGATAAGTCTGGGCAGCCTTAAACCAGCAGAGTTTCCGGCAAGCATCCGTTCTTCGAATGTTACCGGAAATGATGTAATCACCTCTATGACGCAGAGAAGTTTTGTAGTGCGTGGAATCCTTACCATAAAAATATATAGTGAGCACAACATCATCTTAATTAAATACAGCATTAAATACATGTATGGAAATACACATTTATAATATTGACTCAAGATGAATGTGTTAAAAAAACCTAGGACGGCGCCCTCATTCAAGGTGTTAAAATCTGGTAAAACGCTTTTGAAAGACTTGAATGCACTTAAATGAATCGTTACGTATGTTGAACAATTATGGTTACAACCGGAACTCGATGCTTCTCTGGATTACTACCATGTTCGTATGTACAAACGTAGCGATCATAATATAAGTAGTAGCCAAAAGTTTTGACCCTTCTTTTTTAGTATGAAGACATGCATATTAATACTGAGCACTTGAAACAGATATATTATACTGTGTAGAACTTAAAATGGGCTACCTTCTTGTTCTTTCCCCTCCCCCAAAAACACGAAAAGCCAACACATGACCTGTTACTAACCGTGTCATTGTTCAAGCGAGTCGCGAACTTTGCTGGCCGTGACCTGACACGCACCTTATTATCTTTATTAATATTATTAACGCGAAATGTCAACACCAGTTCGTACGTGCCCATCCTGTAGGGAACTTTGCTGGCCGTGACCTCATGTGAACCTTATTAATAAATATTCATATTATCCATATTACCTTTATTAATAACGCGAAATGTCAACACCAGTTCGTACGTGCCCATCCTGTAGGGTATAAGTATAAAGGACAGGTCGATTTCTCAACAGTTTGTACCCAGACGAAGGAACTAAAGGGACCGTCGATCGAACTCCGCAATGATTTGGACTATTTTCTTTGCTGCCGGGCTGGGCGTCGCAAGTAGGGCTAAAAACGATTTTTGTGATGTAAAGATACAATTGGTATATATTGGTTATGTGTTTTAAGTGCGTTATTTTGTAACTTTGCTGTACAAATCGAGCTGGTGTAAGCTCTGAATTACGTTTACTTTTTTGGTGGCCATTTTCCAAAAGCAACAAACAAATAAACAAAACAAACAACAGTGGATTGGAAGTGGCTAAAAACTTAACTTGACCGATACGTCCTTTGAAGGTGCCAACCCGGGCTGGCCCACCACCGCCTCCTGGCACACCGACGACGTGGCGGACCTGTGCCACAACTTCTGTGGCCTTTGTGCGGCGGCGGGCAGCGGGAGCGTTGTATCCCAGGCTACAACCACCACACGGCCAACGCAAGCTACAACCACCAACTACTACCAAAGTTTCCCATCAGGTAAACGTAAAATCCGAGCTTATCTTTCGGAGTCGCAACCAAATAACCAACCAACCAACCAACCAACCAACCAACCAACCAACCAACCAACCGGCAAGGCAGTATCCAATAGAAAAGACTTGTTGTAGACGTATCCGATTCTATTAGAAAATGGCACATAGAAAAAGTTCACAATTAACAAATATGTTACGCCTCTTTCAAACATCACGAACTAAAACCTAACGTACGCCGTACAAAGTCAACTTTATGAGGAACGATATTAATTGACGGTCTGCTGCTTACCCCACAGTACCTTGGTATATTTTGCCTAGTCCTGAATTCGTCCCTCATGACTTCAATGAAAAGCGGTCAGACGGCCTATATGTTTTTTTTTGTAATGAATCAGTAAGGTTCAAACAAATTGATGGCACAAGCTAATTTCTACCAGGCTACCGGAGAGGACTGGAAAGAGTAGTAATTGGCCAAATACAAAAATAACATGCCAAGAGAGTTGGAGAGTACAGGCTAGAGTACAGGTAAACTGTACTCTCTAGCGGACCAACTCCCTCGGCATGTTATCTCTCTATTTGGCCAATTCTACTCTTCCAGCCGCCCCCCTAAGCCTGGTAGAGGCTAGGCACAATCACTTTTATCACTGTCGTTGTTCCCGCCCCAGGCACCTGCCCGACCGGGTTCCTGGCGGTGGTCCCCGACAACAAACTCTGCATCCGGGCATTCATGGAGGAGAAGTCCTGGTACGACGCTGCAAACACCTGCGCGACTTTCGGGGGGACGCTGGTCATGCCCAAGAACGAGGACATCCACCAGGTACAGTATAAACAAACAAACAAACAAACAAACAAACACCTGCGCCACTTACGGGGGGACACTGGTCATGCCGAAAAACGAGGACATTTACCAGGTACAGTAAAAAAAAACAAATAAACAAACAAACAAATAAACAAACAACAACAGCACAACTTACGGGGGACGCTGGTTATGCCGAAAAACGAAGACATTCACCAGGTATAGTACAAACAAACAGGTAAACAGGTAACAAACAAATAAATAGGTAAACAAATAAACAAAATAGTTTACACCTGCGCAGCTTACGGATTGACGCTGGTAATGCCCAAGAACGAGGACATTCACCAGGTACAGTACAAACAAACAAACAAACAGACAAACAAAAAACAAACAAATAAACAGACCAGCAAACAAATGAACAAACGTGCGCAACTTACGGGGGGGAGGGGCATTTGTCATGCTGAAGAACGAGGACATTCACCAGGTACAGTTATAAACAAATTATCAGGAAATTCACGAAAACTTCACTCCTTGTTTTCCCAGTTCTGTCTCCTCTTTAAAAACGGCGTGGACGCCAACAGCAAGTTCTGGATCGGGCTGACGGACGTCGGGACGGAGGGACAGTGGCGTTACGTGGACGGCACGGCGGTGGTGGGATTCAACAAGTGGAATACCGTAAGAGACTGCTGTATTTTAGCAATAAGCTATACTGCGTCCAGTACTGTGGCCTTCATCAGGTCTGAATGACCTACCGCTAGGGTAAGGGACGGCGGTGGTAGGATTCAACAAATGGAACACCGTGAGGCCTGAAAACTGGTACTTGGGCCTCCATCAGGTTTGAATGACCAATATATATAGCGCTATATAGGTTCTGTGGTGGAACACCGTTAGGCCTGAAAACAGTTCTGTACAGGAATCAGTTAGACTTCGTTCCGTGCTGTTGCCTTCATCAGGTTTGAATGACCAAGTGGTAAGGGATAGGGTCGGATTCAACAAGTGAATTAACCTAAGGCCTGGAAACAGTTATATAGTAATCAGGCTACGTTCCTTTTCCTATTGCCCTCGTCAGGTTTGAATGACCGACCGCTAAGTATTAGGGACAGATTCAATACGTGAATTAACGTAAGGCCTGCAAACAGTTCTGTAGTAATCATTTAGACTACGTTCTGAACTGTTGCCTTCGTCATGTTTGAATGACCAGGTGGTAAGGGTTAGGGTCTGTAGTGGTGGGATTTGACAAGTGAAACACCGTAAGGCCTGGAAACGTAATCAGTTAGACTTCGTTCCCGTACTGTTGCCTCCCTTCATCAGGTTTGAATAACCAAGCGCTAAGGGTTAGGATCTGCGGTTCTGTCGCACAGCAAGTAGATCATCGTAAGACCAAGCTAACAGTTCTGTCACATTTGCTCCTAGGGGGAACCGAATAATTCCGGAGGGAATGAGGGCTGTGGCGAGTACCTCCCAGCCGGCAACGACATGTGGAACGACTTGAACTGCGCCAACCCGCAGAAATTCATCTGCCAGACAAGTAAGAAATTTGTCTAAAGTTAAAGCTTTAGATCCAACACAAAGAAGTTCTCTCACCTAGAGCTTTCGACCAGTCAGTCTGGTCTTCCCCAGTAGACTGACCCAGTGAGTCTTGTCATGTGGCTTCTTTGAAGTGTGACGTCAACACTGGGTCAAAGGCGATGTCTTCCCCGTCGCGGTTGAGTCTTCCAAGGAAGACCAGAGTGAGAAAGCTCTAGATGAGAGAACGTCTTTGTGTTGGATCTAAAGTTTTTAACTTTAAGTATGTAACTACCAACACAGAATGACTTTTATGATAAGTAAGAACTTTCTTTGACTCCTGAAACAACACCTACTGACATGCACAATGACAAAAAAATGAAAGATATCCTGCAGTACCAAGGAAAGACGCCAGAAGATCCAAATTCAAATATATTCATTTGCTAGAGAAGTAAGACCTTATTACCTTGCCCCCAGGAAACACATGCCAAATAGCACAAAACGTACATTCTCCTGCAGTACAAAGGGAAAATGATAGAAGACCCAAAATTGACCTTGATCTTCGTCTCCCCAATACTTACTCAAATACCCAGCAGCAGTGTAACCGATCCATAGCTTATTGAGTTATGTCGGCCAAAGAATGCGGAAAGAAATACACACATACACACTCAGACACACCAAAACTGTAGTAGACTACTCCATTGACCCCTTGACCCCATACTAAAATGGGGGCAAGGTATGTCGTCACCATAAGCTTGATTAATCTTTAATGTAGCATATAGAACCTGCCCGACCGGGTACCTGCCGATGCTCCAGGACAGCAAACTCTGCGTCCGGGCATTCATGGAGGAGAAGTCCTGGTACGACGCCGGAAACACCTGCGTGACTTTCGGGGGGACGCTGGTCATGCCGAAAAACGAGGACATCCACCAGGTACAGTACAAATAAATAAACAAACAAACAAGTAAACAGATAAACAAAATGGTTTACACTTACGCAGCTTACGGGGGGACGCTGGTCATGCCCAAGAACGAAGACATTCACCAGGTTTAGTACAAACAAACAAAAAACAAACAAACACCTGCGCGACTTACGGGAGGACGCTGGTCATGCCCAAGAACGAAGACATTCATCAGGTACAGTACAAACAAACAAACAAATACACAAAAAACAACACCTGCGCAGCTTACGGGGATCATGCCCAATTCACCAGGTACAGTACAAACAAATAAACAAATAAAATGGTTTACACTTGCGCAGCTTACGGAGGGACGCTGGTCATGCCGAAAAACGAGGACGTTCACCAGGTAAAGTTTAAAAAACAAACAAACAAACAGGTAAACAAACAAACAGGCAACACCTGCGCACTTACGGGGGGGGGACGCTCGTTATGCCAAAAAAGAGGATATTCACCAGGTACAGTACAAACAAACAAACAAACAAACAAACAACACCTGCGCAGCTTACGAGGGGACATTCACCAGTTTAAGTACAAACAAACAAACCTGTGCAGATTACGCTCAAAATGGTCTCACTGCAGGCTGGGGATGAAATGAATGGTATAGTAGATGGACTCATGATCAGGAAATCGAGTATTACATGTGCTCGACAAGGGAATATGCACAAAATTAGCGAGAAAAGTATAATAAGGAATATAACAAGAAATTCACAAAAATTACTTCTTGTTTTCCCAGTTCTGTCTTCTCCTGAAAAACGGCGCGGACGCCAACAGCAAGTTCTGGATCGGGCTGACGGACGTCGGGACGGAGGGCCAGTGGCGCTACGCGGACGGCACGGCGGTGGTGGGATTCAACAAGTGGGGCGCCGTAAGTCCGGTCACCACTTTTATAATATAGCAATCGTCCTGTACTGTGGCCCTCATCAGGTATGAATGACCTACCTCTAAGGTTAGGGACGGCGATGGTGGGATTCAACAAGTGGAACACTGTAAGAGATTGCTGTATTTTAGCAATCAACTAGACTGCGTCCCTTACTGTGGCCTTCATCAGGTCTGAATGACCAATTACGTAGGTTGGTTATTCAACATGATGAAGACTTCAGACGTTGATGGTTCTGCACTGGTGAACTCCAATAAGGAAAACACTGTAAGACCAAGAAACTGCTTTGCAGACATCAGTTAGACTTCGCTCTGTACTCTGGCCTCCGTCAGGTTTGAATGACCAAGCGGTAAGAGTTAGGGTCTGTGGTGCTGGACTACATGTGAAATATTGTAAGACCAGCCAACTGTTCTGCAGCAATCAGTTAAACTTCGTTCCGTACTGTTGCCTTCATCAAGTTCGAATGACCAATATGGGCTTAAAAGTGGAAAGTTGTAATTAAGGCCATTAGACAGCTTTGATGGCCGTTGGGGACTTCATGATTAGTTGTGGGTTCGTTCCTTGCCTATAAATTCCGTTGAGTGATCTGCCAAGTCTCTCGTCGGTCACAACCTGTAGTGGGTAGGTGATGAAGAACACATGTAGCCTCTACCAGGCTTCGGGAGGTGTCTGAAAAGAGTAGAAATCGGCCAAATAGAGAGATAGCATACCAAGGGAGTTTGCTCGACTCGAGAGAGAACAGTTTGACGCTCCCGAAGAAAATTGTCCTCTCTCTCCCGAAGCCTGGTAGAGGCTACCATACATGAGATTCAAAGCTAACCGTCACATTTGCTCCTAGGGGGAACCGAATAATTCCGGAGGGAACGAGGGCTGTGGCGAGTACCTCCCAGCCGGCAACGACATGTGGAACAACTTGAACTGCGCCAACCCGCAGAAATTCATCTGCCAGACAAGTGAGAAATTTGTCTAAAGTTAAAACTTACGATCCAACACAAGAAAGTTCACTCTGGTCTTCCTCAGTAGACTGACCCAGTGAGTCTTGTCACGTGGCTTCTTTGAAGTGTGATGTCAACACTGGGTCAAAGACGATGTAGGCCCCCGTCGAGGTTGAGTGTACTAAGGAAGATCAATGTGACTGGTCGAAAGCCTCTAGATGAGAGAACGTCTTTGTGTTGGATCGTAAGTTTTAACTTTAAATATGTAACTACCATATAGCATACCCGAAACAACTCACATACACAATGACAAAAATTAAAGGTCTCCTGCAGTACCAAGGGAAGAGGCAAAAAGGCCCCAATTCAACCAAATTTATTTGCCAGACAAGACCCTACCTTGACCAAATAGTAAAAAAGGAAATTCTCCTGCAGTACCAAAGAAAGACGATAGGCCTAAATTGACCTTGACCTTTGTCCATTACTTACTCAAATACCAAGTGTAACTAATCCATAGCTTATTGATTTATGTTGGCCAAAGAATGCGGAAAGAAATACACACATACACACTCAGACACACTAAAAAAAGTAGTAAACTATGACCCCGTGACCCAAAATTACAGAGAGCAAAGGATGTTGTCACCACAGGCTTGATTGATCATAAATGTACCATATAGAAATAACTTCAGAAACTGACAAACACATCCAGACACTACAAAGACACCATCAGAATATGTCATTGCTATATTCTAACCAATCTTTCGTTTCACGTTTTCAGTTCTACCCTGAGGAAACCTGCCTTCCAAACTCTTTACGAATGACGTGGTGGAATGTACTTCAACTAGAGGCAGGAGAAAAGCAGATGTATTGATGTCGGACAAGCTGAATTGATTGCAAATAAAAGACGAATAAACGCAATAAATGATCAATGCACTGGCCAGTCGGAGCTTTAGTGAAGGCAAAGGATTCTGAAGGCCCTGTGTCTGTTTGCTTGTCTTGATTGTTTGGGTGCCTTTGTGTGAGTGTGTGTGTGTGTGTGTGTGTGTGTGTGTGTGTGTGTGTGTTTGTGTTTGTGTGTGTACAATATGTGTGTGTGTACAATGTGTGTGTGTGTGTGTGCGCGCGCGCGTATGTATAATATGTATGTGTGTGTGTGTGTGTGTGTGTGTGTGTGGGCGCGTGCGTGTGTGTACAATATATGTGTGTGTATTTGTGTGTGTGTATGTTTGTGTGTGTGTGTGTGTGTGCATGGGTGTGTATGTGTGTGTGTCTGTGTATATGTGCATGTGTGTGTGTGTGTGTGTGTGTTTGTGTATGTGTGTGTTTGTGTGTGTGTGTGTGTGTATGCACGTGTGTGTACATGTGTGTGTGTGTGTGTCTGTTTGTGTGTGTGTGTGACGATAGGTACATATATTCTACGGAACAGAAATTTTCCTGGTCTACTACTTCCCTTTTTCGTCCTTTTGCCGTATAGTACACTCCAATTACTTACTCATCAGTCCTCTCCATCTATTAAAACAAACACCTTCACGTGTAGCATGTGTTAACTGTCGCACCCTACTTACGGGGACAGGCAGATTCTATAAATGTATCACCAGAGATAACTTGGCCTCATTTCTACAGAGGACTCTTAACCACACCAACATGCTGTTTTGTCTCCTTTTTATATCTGGAGTGGCGATTGCCGGTGAGACAAGTTCTTCCGTTTAAATTTTATATTCTGAAGATTCTTATCAGTTTTGATCGACTTTCATAGCGAAGTAAGTCCGATATTAGACATTTTATGTCAAGGTTACTAGTGGTAATAGTAGGCTCATTCACCTGTCCATATTGGATGATGACCTTGCCACTGGACCAGAAGGTCAGGGGTTCGGATCCCAACCGTTTCTTGTTGGTGTTCGTGTTGAAAATGAATCGGATTTTACTCAGTACAATGAACTACTAGTAGTAAATATTGTTGCTGCAGGCTAGCTGGACATTCGGGTAGAACAGTACGTAATTTTATGAGTCAATGGTGAAAGCCAGTCTGAATCTTCGCATAATTTATTTAGTCGCTTGATTTATGTCATTACGGAACATGTAAATATTGTTCATAACGTTTTGTGTCTTCTGTTTAAGTGTCTTTATCTGCAAAATCGTGCCCGAAGGCTAATTACTTTTACAGAGTCAAATCTACTACTGTATACGGTACACTACAATAATAGGAAACAGGCTACTGTCTGGAAAAAACGTATTCTTAAATGCCCAGTAAAAGATTGGCACGTTAATGAGCTAAAACTGGTTCATTTCTATTTTGCCCCCTCCCCCCTTCCAGCGTCCCAGTCGTGTCAGAACACGAGTCCCCTGTGCGGCGCCAGTCCGGGATGGCCGCTGCTGTCCATGTGTTTTGATCACGACTACGTGTTCGCCAGCTGTCCCGAGTTCTGTGGACAATGCTGTAAGTACTGAGTTTTCTATCGTGTCCAGTACCGTACCTGTCAGGTCTATGCTTCAATGGGTTAGCGTTAGGTTCAGGCACTGTTGGTCTTTACGTATCCATGATCGTAGATTTACTCCCAGGCACGGTTCTGGATATGCGTGGACTATCCATACACGGTGATCCATAACCGTGCATGCGTATGTTTCTGGATGAAACACTGTTCTGGATACTATATTTTCTTAGATTCACAACCACATCATTTTACTGTGTCACACTTTAACTGTGACGCCATGAATGGAGAAGACAAATAATGTGTTCTCGAAGTGTTTACCAACCTGATGAAACTGTTTACACACGGAGAGTCTTTCCTGACTCTTCATAAAACTACCTGACTGTTATCTTTAGTTTTTCCTTTATTTTCCTTTAATCATTTACAGAATCTAGAAAAAGCGATTTGTCGTGATATTTATTCTGTCATCTAAAATTCTTGTCTTCGTGTTTCTTTACTTCCCTTCTTGTTCCAGCCAGCGTTTCAGGCTAGACTTTGTGAAGGTAAAATTATCAACTTCCTTGATAATGTTTTCTTTCTAGTTACAATTTATTTTCCCCCCAGCGTGCGCCGCTGACCCTCGCGGCCCCTGCTATAACGGCGGCACCCGGGGCGGGAACCCCGCCAACTACAACGAGCACACCTGCGACTGTAACTGTGTGGGTGCATGGACAGGGGACCGCTGCCAAAGTAAGTTCTCCATGTGTATATAAGTATGCATCTCGCAACATGTACATTTTGAGACTTTAAAGTTTGAAAGAGTATTGGGAGAGGAAATCCCCTAACCACAGACCACAAAAGGTCAGAGACAGGGAAATCAGGTCTCAGAATGTGGCCAATGTATTAAACCTACGTTTATGTCTGTTACATCATCATAGATAGATCATGAACAATGCTATTTCGGCAATCGTCACCAGTTCATGGTTCCCTATACAATTTAGTCAAGGATACCTTTGTAATCACAATGGGTTCTCGTTGTTTGTCCATATCCTTGCTTTTTCTGTTCGTCGATGAAGGTTACAAATCCAGGTAATGAAATCCATAAGAAACTAGTAATCAAGTAACTTGATAGATTTGAAAACTGCCAGACGTTTCAAGTAGCATCCTCATATGTGTACAGTACTCGTCAAGTTAAGTTTTTTGTGTATGAGCATCTTTGTGATCACAATGGTTTTTATACTTTGGTCCTCATGCTATATATTCCTCCAGACTGTGGACTCACCTGCGTGCACGGTACCCTTGACCGCAACACCTGCACCTGCCGCTGCGCACCTGGATGGGACGGACCCACCTGCAGCGGTAAGTATAAACAATACAACATGTGAAGTTCAAGTATATCGTACTTTAAAATCAGACTTACCTGCCTTTCCATATAACGATACGTCCATTGATTTTTTATTTACTCGCTAAGGACTGCTAGCCTGGGTTAGAGAGTTATAGAGCTGGCGAATATACTACTGGGGATGGCACCCAGGCTAAAGGACTGCGGCATCCGGTATTTTTTATTCGCTATATTGTTGATTATGTCACCGAGATGAGATATTTGCGTCTTTGTTTATTTTTGTTTGTTTACTTGTTTGTTTCTTTACTAAGATGTTGTGCGGACAGCAGTAGCAGTAACCCCGGCTGGCCGACCGTGGCGTCCTGTAGTGTAGACTACGTGGCCTGCTTGTTTACTAAATTGTTTGTTTGTTTGTTTGTTTACTAAGATGTGTGTGCGGACAGCAGTAGCCTGTGTGGAGCTAACCCCGGATGGCCCACCGTGGCGTCCTGTAGTGTAGACTACGTGGCCTGTTTGTTTACTAAATTGTTTGTTTGTTTGTTTGTTTGTTTACTAAGATGTGTGTGCGGACAGCAGTACCCTGTGCGGAGCTAACCCCGGATGGCCCACTGTGGCGTCCTGTAGTGTAGACTACGTGGCCTGTTTGTTTACTATGTTTTGTTTGTTTGTTTGTTTACTAAGATGTGTGTGCGGACAGCAGTAGCCTGTGCGGAGCTAACCCCGGATGGCCCACTGTGGCGTCCTGTAGTGTAGACTACGTGGCCGCCAGTTGTCATCTGTTCTGTGGGATCTGCTCCGGCGGATCTGGCGTTATCGTCACTCCGCCCACCACTACAAGCCATTATCATCCTACAACTCATCCTACAACTCATCCTACAACAACCAAAGGGACTACAACTACCCCTACGCGTAATTTTGTTTTCATGTTTTCTTTGGTAGGGTATGTATAGCATTGTCAAAACTTTATCAAATGCCTCTTGTACAAAACATTCAAACTGCGAAACAAAAAAAGATGTTTCTCCGCATCCTCTGTTGTTTCGAAGTTGGTATCGCCCTCCGGCTTATTGTTTTTTTGCATCTATACAGCAACATATTGACTGACCCATTTTTACACGACGTGTTACGTAAGCAATGGGTCAAAGGTTGTTTGAAGTCGATATCGTCCCCCGCCTTATTCATTGTTCACGTCTCCATGGCAACATCAATGTGTCTCAATGACTACGAGCTTATCGTAAAACTGAGCGTCTGCTTAAAGACAATTAAAGATGAGTGAGGTCATTCGAACCTGAAGAAGGCTGCAGTCTGTCAGCCCACAAAATTTGGCCGTCTACAACATCTTATCCTTTGCTGTTTGTTTTCCTCTCTACAGCATCGTGTTCTCGTGACTACGCTGTGTCTACAACACCACATACATTGATGTTTGTTTGTTTATTTTCACATCCACAGCCATGTGTCCCCCTGGCTACGCGCTGATCGTGAACCGCGCCGTGTGTCTGAGGGCCTTTGACGAGGAAAAGACTTGGCAGGAGGCATCTTCCATCTGTCAGCAGCAGGGCGGTCTGCTGGCTATGCCTAAGGACGAGGAACTGCATCAGGTTTGTTTGTTTGTTTGTTTGTTTGTTTGTTTGTGTGACGAGGAGAAGACTTGGCACGAGGCGGCTTCCATCTGTCAGCAGCAAGGGGGTCTGCTGGCCATGCCTAAGGACGAGGAACTGCACCAGGTTTGTTTGTTTGTTTGTTTGTTTGTTTGTTTGTTTGTTTGTTTGTTTGTTTGTTTGTGAGACGAAGAGAAGACTTGGCAGGAGGCGGCTTCCATCTGTCAGCAGAACGAGGGTCTGCTGGCCTATACCTAAAGACGAAGAGCTGTGTTTGTTTGTTTTCATGAAAACAACACTTGTATGTAACTTTGTAAGTTAATTTCTACCACATATGATTTTACAAATCAGTGCAATTCAGATTGTTGTACAGTTACCTCATGCTGCAAACCTGATTTTCTTGATAAAACTGTAAAATGTAAGGAACTGAGAATCCACTGCCATAGTTTTTTCCAACTTCCACAGGCCTGTGTGGCGATAAAGAACAGTGTGAATAGCGGAGCGTCCTTCTGGATCGGGCTGGGAGACGCGCTGGCAGAGGGGCAATTTTACTTCGTAGACGGGACTCCCTTGACTTCCTTCAACAAATGGAACCCGGTAAAACTCAGAAACTCTGTCTTTCCTTTCCCTTTATATCATTTTGATTTTTGAAGTCTTATTTTGTCTCTGTAACTTTCACTGTTTAGTAAGTACAATTACAAGATTTCTTTTTGTTTCCATTTCTACTCTGCAATTGAACTCACGGACGTAAAGTTGATCGCACGGATGTAAAGTTGAACGCATCAACATAGAGTTGAACACACGGACGCATCAGCTACATCTACTGCCTGTTCCCACACCTGTTTTGTTGTTCACAAAGTACATCAGTGCACACTAGTAATATAATATGCAGTGATTACAAATTTTCAATTTTTTTTACAACTTTTCTTAGAGATGCCTGTTCGCACACCTGAATTCTGTCATTAGAATTAGAAAGTCGCCGTATAGTTTGTGTTGTGTCATTGAAGCTCCCATCATATAAATCCGACCCGCAGGGCGAGCCGAACCAGAGCGGCGACGAGGATTGTGTGCACTACTACGGGGCTGACAGGGGGAACATGTGGAACGACCTGAACTGTGGGAGTCGCATGAGGTTCATCTGTCAGGCTGGTAAGAACTTTGGGTACTTGTCCTGCATGGCTGCTGCTTTTTAGGTCAAACTTAAGACGAGGTTGAAGATTTCACACCTTCGTGAGGTGTTTAGAGCTTTCTTGGTTTTAATTGTTATTGTTAATTTTTTGTCTGATTTCGTGCATATTTCAATGTCACGCACATGTAATCCTCGAGTTCTTGAGAGTTCCTCTGCAGTACAATTCACTTCCTCCCAGCCTGTGACAAGACCATTTTGACCTCCAATTCGACCTTCCTGTCAGTCTGCGGTTATACCATTTCCCCCTCACTTCCTGTGACTCAAATTATTGTATTCAAAGAACTACACAAGCAAGCAAGCAAACAAATGTAAGGAATATCAAACTATAATGCCTCAAACTAACATATTTGTCGTTTTTTTTTGTATCTACAGTTCCACGCTAAATACCACGGCTGGATGCAAAACGGCTGTGGCAAAATGGATCCGGTGTAAACACTACCTACTCATGATTGAAAATATGTCAAATAAAGAGATATTTCAACTGAGCGATTGTTTGTTATTCTTTAATGGGTCTGGATAGGTATTTTATATGATTAAGTAACCAAAGAGACGAATTGGTAACTGCATATGAATGCATAAAGTAAATAAACATCAAGGCAATCAGAGATGACAGAACTCTGCTCCCGACGGTCCCCTTTCCAACCAAGGTCGGCATTAGGCTGGGAGTAGCCTGGTATCATTCGTATTTCTAGCCTCAGTTCGGTTCCCTTATTCCGTCTAAGCAGAACGTGGCTTTGATTTTGTAAAGTTCATAGTCGGTTCGGCTGGTGAAGACGACTTTTATAGACTACTACTTGATCATAGAAGGCAACCTTGCCGACCAACTCATAACACAATTTGGCCTCGCAACTACCTCCCAACCATGGTCTGGAGAAGGTCGGTAGGCCAAGGCCGGCTTCGTGTGAGAAGGCAACGATAAACAAGAGCTTCCGGTATGACCTATGACCAGAGTTACGTAACCAGGTTCTATATAAAACATGACTCTTTAGGACTGACGTCTCACTACGTAACGACCTCCGTCCGCGAGAACAGAGCTAACCGCCGCCATGTTGGTTTGGTCGATATTCCTCGCATTTCTGTCAACAGCTGGTAAGTAATAAAAACTGTATACACTGTACATGTGTTGATACATTGAAAATTAGATAATTTAATGTTGGAAGACTGGCTGCATTTAACGATTTATGTACTTTATTGCACCGCGCATTCCGTATCTACGTACAGTTTTGTTTTCTGTATTATAAGTCTTTGCGTAATTCTACTTGTGAATTGTAGAGCCATACCACCAATACATGTGTGTTACATGGATCCGTTTTTGCATTGTAATGAGTGGCTTTTTTTTGAAACTTTCTTTTGTAATCAAAGCAAGTATTTTCTTCATTTTAAGCACAAGATATGTTAGTTTTTGACGAATATCTTTAACGAAACATGTAGCAAAAGGTTAGGTACTCTTGGGAGTTTTCGTGACGCCCTCTGTTTCTTCTTTAACCCGGTTAAGATCTCGTTTTAGATTTCTCTTGTCGACATGTTCCTATTGTATGAAAATTCTTTGTTTTCGCCCCCCCCCCCGCCAGCGTCCCAGTCATGTCAGAACACGAGTCCCCTGTGCGGCGCCAGTCCGGGATGGCCGCTGCTGTCCATGTGTTTTGATCACGACTACGTGTTCGCCAGCTGCCCGGAGTTCTGTGGACAATGCTGTAAGTACTGAGTCTTCTAAAGAGTTTTCTATCGTGTTCAGGACCGCTTCTATCGTGGTCAGGCATTGTTCCCAATGGTATTCACGTATCCAAGAACGTAGATGTGTTATGATCACGATTACGTGTTCGCCAGGTGTCCGGAGTTCTGCGGACAATGCTGTAAGTACTGAATCATTGCGAGTTTTTTTATCGTGTTCAGGACCGCGCCTATGTAGATCTATGCTTGAATTGGTTAGCGTTAGAATCAGGCACGGTTCTGGATGGTCTTCACGTATCCAAGAACGTAGATTTGTCCCCATCTGTTTTTGTCACGACTACGTGTTTGCCGGTTGCCAGGACGAATGCAACCTTGGGTAGTCTATGCACTTCGTGGAATACAAGGCTGTTATCTTCCCATTTTGCCAACTCTTTTATTTTTTACTGATTATTTGTCCACGTTTGAGCATGCCAACGTGTAATTTGCGAGTTACGTTCTATGGACTATGCAGTGAGAACAAAATCAAACTTTAAAACTAGATGTACATCTTTATTTTCCTTAAGTTTTCTAAATTATTCATAGCATCAATAAACATCAGTTTGTCATGACATATTTTACTAGGTCAACTTAATCGTCTCGTCTGAATTTTTCTTTCCTTACTTTTCTTACCCGCCAGCGTGTGCCACCGACCCTCGCGGCCCCTGTTATAACGGCGGCACCCGGGGCGGGAACCCCGCCAACTACAACCAGCACACCTGCGACTGTAACTGTGTGGGCGCCTGGACAGGGGACCTCTGCCAATGTAAGTTCCAATCCTATGATACAGCTTAAATATGTTCTATCTGTAACGATCCTTCAATATGTTTACATTTTTGTCAACTAGTTTTATTCGTGGTAAAACTTAATAAATAAATAAATAAATAAAAAAATTCAAACTCAATACAATACAAATATATAACTCCACAATACAATTATCATTATGGCATGGTATGAAATGAAATGTACAAGCACCAATATTGCTTATGATTATTGTTTTATGTATTGCCATCTTTATCGTTACCTTGTTTACGAAGAATGAATGTTGGGTTCTACTTTTTGTATGAAACAAATACACCACATGGGAATACAATGACCTTGGCCTCCATAACGGTAACTTGCCTACCAAAAATCATGAACATCCATTTAAATATACTGATAACAAGCGACAAACGTCCACTGCAGTGACGTAGAGGCCCATTTTTGCACTTGACATTGGTCTCCCCAACAGTGACCTACCTTCTCTGAAGGCAATAAAGCTAGAAGTTCACGAAAACTCCGATTTTTCCCCAGACTGCGGACTCACCTGCGTGCACGGTACCCTGGACAGCAACACCTGTACCTGCCGCTGCTCACCTGGATGGGACGGACCCACCTGCAGCGGTAAGATATTATACGCTTAACAAAATCATGTCGTTATCCCATTGCTATTAGATGGCCTTAGATCTATGCAGAGCAAAATAAGTTCGTTTGCCTTCATCGTAAAGTTTTGCCCCTAACATTTCTGAAATGTACATCAGCAATGTTCAAGCTTGTCTGTTTACTCCTTGTTTATTCGTTTATTTATTTGTTTATTGTTTACTAAGATGTGTTTACGTGTTTGTTTGTTTGTTTACTAAGATGTGTGTGCGGACAGCAGTAGCCTGTGTGGAGCTAACCCCGGATGGCCCACTGTGGCGTCCTGTAGTGTAGACTACGTTGCCGCCAGCTGTCATGCCTTCTGTGGCATCTGCGGTGGATCCGGTGGTGTCGTCACTCAGCCCACCACTACAATTCATACAACCAAAACAACAACTACCCCACCGCGTAAGTTCACATGTCTTCCATAACAAAGATGAACTTTCCACGGTTTTATGCTCAGAATATATATTTTTTTAAAGTTGTAGTTATAAGTAATATAGTTTAAAGTGTGATTTTTCAAGTCCTTGTATGACGTGGCCAAAGGGGTAAAAGGTTGTAGGAAGCCGATATCGTGCCCCGCCAGATCAACCTTCAGGCTTATACAGTTTAATAACAAACTCTAAAGAACGGAAATATAAAGATAGCAAAACAGAACTGGGATTGAAACATGTGAATCGAGTTGGACTTGGAAACTCGATGGATTCGTACGTCCAAATTTCTGCTTGAATATTTCTTGAAAATGTTTTGAGTGGAGAATTTCAGAAATCTTGACGAAGGTGTGTTGACTATGTTTCTTCTTGGAGCTTCTATATCTTATCTATGATTTTTCAATTTCTTGCATGACCTGAGCAAATAGTCAAAGATTGTTGGAAGCCGGTATCGCCCCCCCCCACCCAATTGAATATTTCATGAAACGATTTTGAGCACAGATTTTAACGACGGTTTCTTGCAAAAAAAACAGTTACTCAAGCAACTGGATATGATTCAGTTGCTTGAATAACTTTTTTTTTGCGTATCTTATTACCTGGATGTCTAACTTTCATACACGGTTTCTTGGCTGTTTATGTTTCTTGTAGCGTGCGACTGGCAGGTAGTTTTCGACGTCCGACCGGGTGTAGGAGACTGGGCTGTGGACGCCTGGAGCTCCGACCACTCCCACACCGCTCACCTCAAGAGCCCGCTGGTGGAGATTTGGGAGACGCTGGGGATCAAGAGGGTGAGGTTTTACTCTCCCCTTTCTTTCTCATTTCTCCTTTTCTTGCTTACTCTATCTAATACTGTTTCACCGTTTCGCCTGTCTTCATCACACGGGCTCAACAAATTTGCTAATTTGATGTTAGGGACTGTACGATATTTACCGGGGAGGGGGGGCCGGTCGTCCGGGGGTAGCGTAAAAATTTTTTCCTAGGCCCTCCCCCCAGGTCAAAAAATTTTTTCCGAGGCCCTCCCCCCGGCTTAAAAAATTTTTCCTAGGCCCTCCCCCCCGGCGTGAATCATAGAGAGTGAAATTTTGTATGGGGATGGCGAGATTTTGATTGAAAATTTTCCCCGCATGAAGTGCCGAAGGCGCGAGCCATCGCGCCGCAGGCGCCACTAGAGCCCGAGTAGGCCCGGCTTTGGGGGGGGGGCGGGGGGATGTCCCCCCGGAAAAATTTTGAAATTCAACCCATGTTTTGCATGTTGAGGGGCAAATTTGGCAGCACAAATTTCGCTGGTACGTCGAACTATAAATTTAAAGTCAGTAACGACGGTCAGTGTAATCGAAATAATCCTCTATCTAGCCTACCTTTCGTCCACGTCTTCCGCGTCAATTTTATTACAAACAGGGAAACAATATTGCCAAGTTACGTGTTGTTTTCAATTAACTTTGGAGGGACATAGATGTAAATGTTAAAATAGTCCTTGGTTTAATAAAAATACCAAATTAATCCGTCGACATCCGACATCCACGCCGAGAAGTTCGAGCGAGCTGCGAGGCGGGACCAGCGGGGCCTTTGCCGAGTCACGCACGCACACCACTGGGAAGGGTGCGTTGAACGGCGAAAATTAATTTTCAAAATCTTCAGACAAGCCTTCCCTACATTTTTGATCGGTATCGTTTCGATTGCCGCCATTGACGCGATTTTAATCCATGTAATTTGGCTGTGTAGTCCAGTTTCGCCGATTCTGGCGAAAATGCAAGATTTTGAAGGGGACTGTGGGAGATTTGGGCGAATACATTATAATAATAGGGATGGATATTATTGGAACGTAAAATTCTGCCGATTCCAATGACTGGCAAATCGCTACGATATGTATGGACAGACGTTTAATCATGTTTTCAACGTGTATAAAAACAATGTGGAGTTAAAGGGATCTTGGAAAAAAATTTTACCTAGGCCCTCCCCCAAATTAAAATATTTTTTCCCAGGCCCTCCCCCCGGCTCAAAATTTTTTTCCTAGGCCCTCCCCCCTCAGACGACCGGCCCTCCCCCCCCGGTAAATATCGTACAGTCCCTTACAAAATGCATTTAGTTTCTTAAGAATAACGGAAGGTCAAAGGTTGCTAAAAGTCTGTGTCGTCCTCCGTCCTGGTTCTATGAAAGGTGATTGAATATCAAAACAACCTCTACTGTACCGAATCTGTATTCTGTCTTACCGTCTTTTTTTTTCTTTTTGCGTATCAGTATTCAAGATTCTGTATTCGGTTCTGGATAATCTCCGCGTATTTAAGAACGTAGATTTGGCCCATGCACGGTTCTGGATACGCGTGGACTATCCAGAACCATGCTGAGCATGAGTCTGGACAATGTATCTTTATCGTCCCCAGGTGAAGTGAATTCGAGGGGATTCATTCCTCAGCTAACCGACATCTCACACACGCAGTCGTCCCTCAGTAAGACATCTGGAGCCTGTCACACGAACTATGCGGCTCCAGATGTCTTACTGTCTTACTGAGGGACGACTGCTTGTGCAAGATGTCGGTAGCTTGAGGAATGAATCCCCTCTACTATATACTTTATCGTCCCCAGGTGAAGATTACTCTCATCCAAGGTGCCGAGATCCGCGAGTTGATCTTTAACGGAGTGAACAGCGACAAGTTCAGCTGGTTTTCCCGGGACCGGCTCATGTACTCCCCCTGGACGGACCTGCCCACAGAGACGTACAACTTCTTCTCTATACAGGGGGAGACCAACCCGCAAGCACGCAGGTACGGGGAGGGGGATGGATGGATGGATGGATGGATGGATGGATGGATGGATGGATGGATGGATGGATGGATGGATGGATGGATGGACGGACGGACGGATGGACGGATGGATGAATGAATGAACAAACACAGCAGCTATAATATATAGTTTTCTATCAACTTGGAGATGAACCGGAGCTTGGGTATGTAAATGAATGAATAATGAACCCAACAACAAAAGGCTTTTCTGTAGATAGAAATTGAGCTCAGACACTGGGATGTTAACGTATCTTAACTGTCTTATCTGAATGTATTTGCTAAAAACTCTGAACGCGTAGCGAGTTCGTGTCTACTGCAACTGGGTCAAAACTAGCGAGGTGTGGAGTCACATGTCCGCAAAGTCACGTGTATGATGTAACTGGGTCATCCATCCTTACGAAGACCGAAGTTGTAAAAAATCGTACTCATGGTTTTCTTGTACTAGATCTAAAGGATAAACCTTGGTTATCATGCAACGTGACTAGTTATGGTGACAAACAGTTGGTTTGCATTGATATTGTAAATTTGTATTTCCCGATGGCATTTCCTCGAGCCTTGTTTGACTTCCTATCGATTTTTTGTGGGCAAATAAAAGTAGTAAGTTTTGCGGACTCTCAATTCAAACGCCAAACACGCGCGCAAACTGCATCGTATGGCGCTTTTCACACAAACTCAGAGATAAAACAGTTTTGTGCATCTCCTCAGTCGGTTAAATGAAGCATAAACATTGAAGTATCTAGATCCCTGCCTATCTAGTATTATGTGCGCACGTGTTAAGCCCTTGCCACACACGGCCATATCTGTATATGTATACTAGCAGCCAGTATAACCACCCTTCACCTTAACACGCCAGCTTCGCAGGCACGCGGCGCGGTGGCAGCTGGCAACATTACGCCGAACGACTTGTTACACCTAACCTTTGAACATTTAACTATAAACATTGTTTAAAGCTATCTAATGATGGCCTCTTTAGCACCAGCCAAACTCCCCCTGACCACGGCTGAGTAGTCGGAATCGGGAGCAAGGTCGGAGCTGGTGTTTATCCAGTTTGGCTACTGTTATCTCATGTTGATCTTATTTGCTATGTCTATCATAATGAACACTGTCGTGACCATAAATAATACATCGGATTTAAAGGGAAACCCTCGACAAAACTTGAGAGTTTGGTTTTTCCTTAGATTTTCTTTACCATTGATAACATTGTTTACCATTGTTTTTAATGTGCACAATGAATACTGTAGTAATGACAATAATGCACCATTGTTTTCAATGTGCAAAATTAATAATAATAACAATAATTTACCATTATTTTCAATGCGCAAAATTAATAATAATGATAATAATGTACCATTGTATTCAATGTGCAAAATAGATAATAACGACAATAATTTACCACTGTTTTCAATGTGGAAAATAATGACAATAATCATCATGTCTCTACAGGAGTTTTTTCATAAACTGTAACTACGGTGGTTGTCCTGTAGACGCGGGCTGGCAAAAGATTTTTCATTTATTTTTCAATTCTTTTTATTTCCTTTTTCTATTCTGACGATGCTGTTATTTCTACAGGAGTTTCTTCATAAACCGTAACTACGGCGGGTGTCCTGCTGACGCGGGCTGGCTGGTGGTAGTGGAGAAGGGCTGCCTCCATCGTGTGTTTAGTCATTTCTTCAACCTTCATGACCATGTATATTTCATAACGGAGAGCACTTTTTTTGCCAAACGTTTTTATTCGCACGCTCGCGCCAGTTTTAGGGTTTCCAGAGGACATCATCCACATACTAGTATACTTTTAGTAATCAAATCAACATGGCCTTATCAGCGTACCCTCAGACGATGTTATTGTTCCTACAGGAGTTTCTTCATAAACCGTAACTACGGCGGGTGTCCTGCCGACGCGGGTTGGCTTGTGGTGGTGGAGACCGGACCTCAGGGCTCCTGTGACTGGGAGCGAGTTCCCGCCGGCCCCGCCATTTTCTACTCCAGGAAGTCAACCTACGTCAACTGGACATCCGGTCAGTTCGCAGCAGTATCCGTCTGGCAAAGGATTTATTATTTATTTATTTATTTATTTTTTTATCTATTTTTATTTTTAATTTGTTTATTATTGTTTATTATTCATTTTTATCTATATTTTATTTATTCTTTTATCTTTTGTTTGTTAATTATTTATCTATTATTAATCTTTTTATCTACATTTTATCTATTTTTTATTTATTTATTTTCCTTTTTATTTCATATATCCATATTTCTTATTTTTATTCGTCAGACCAACGATAGTAGAAATGTGAAATACAGCCTAAAGATAGTGACTACAACATTCGGCACGTGACGTCAGAGTCACGTGATAGCATTAGCGGGTCATACGTGCCAGATAAACTGTGTCGCCCCCCGTCTCTGTTTTTTCAAGTAGCTACTATTTTTAGGCCGACTGATTTGTAGGAGTAGCAAATCGGCGTTCTAGTGTAGTCTCCAACGCTTCGCTCACTCGGTGGTTTATTAAGCGGTAATAGGAATCGACCATGCATTATGATACCACATACACCACAGGCGAGATATTACCATTAACGCTGTAGTGTATAATTGACCTGTAGAACGTTGCGCTTTCAGGCGGTGCTGATATCGGGGTGGCTGACCGCATGATCGTCTCCATCGACACCTGCATGCCGTAAGTAAGTATTCTGCAACGTCTTTAAGTAATCTTTGAGTCATCTTAAAATGTTTTAATCTTCGTAATGGTTTATTTGTTCATACATACATACATACATGTACATAAACTGACATGTCAAACACATCTCGCAGCCCATAGGCTAACATTTACAAGTTTCTTCTCACTTGCAGCACATAAGAACTATTCTAAATGTAGTTTGATGATTTTTAAACATAGATTTGATTTTAAAAAATCCAGTTTAAAAATCCGTATCTTTCAGGACTTAGTCTTTCGATAAACGTATTACTGGACGGATTCGCTAATAACATTACCGGACTACCGGACAACTGCTCAACGGTAAAAAGAACCACCTAGCGGAAAACAGTTTAGCTGCAAATCTGTGAATATTGTTCTGAAGGATTTGTTACTACAATGTGACTGTTTCAATGTCATACAAGATCTTACGTACACATTTCTGTACCTTGCATTTTCTACATGTATCTTCGCGGTTTAACGTTGGCTTCATCTTTTCTTTTTTTGTACCGTACCCCAGCTGATGATGTCATGATCGGAATGATGGTAGCGGTGCAACAACACTCAACTGAAATAAAACATCAGCCCGTTGTAGCTATGCAATAAACTACTTCAGACCTCTTTCCAACGCCTTGTAGTGTTGCAGTGTTGGGTTTCATTATGTAGCAAGTGGCGGGACAGAGTTTGAGGGACTGGTCACCATACTAGTATGTATATAAGCCACATGAGAGCAGTAGTTTGTTGGAGTAGACCACGTGAAGGTAAAAATTATGTACTTGGTTTGCAAACATGTTACATTTCTAGTTTATTTTGCATTACGTTGAAAGTACTACCTGGATATTTAACCTTCATCGCCATACCTCCATAGCCTGGGTACCATCCGGATTTTCGCTACGCAACGCTCGAAAATCCGGATGGTACCCAGGCTAATACCTCCACAGAAGCCCAAGAAAACTCGATCTAAAGCAATCCAGTGTGAGCCACATGCGACCGTACCTAGTACCTGTTTGCTTAAGAGGCGATGTACTCTGAAGAGGTACTACGTGTACTTGGCCAGGGGCCGCTGAAATCTTCAACTTTCCTTAAACTTTATGATCAGTCATCTGTCACAATTTTCTACAAAAAACGCAAACACCTTACTTAAGCTAAAACATACACAAACTTTCAACGTTTAGCATTACGTTCCCCCACGTCTGTTTTTCCATGATCATAGGATCAGTTTAAGTGTGTTTCCACGCAAAATAAGCACACGATAACCTTGTACCTTTGGAATTTTACTTGCTTTGGTATTTGACTTCAAATACCAAATAGCCTCGATATCAGGCCCCAAATAGAGACGACGTATGAAATTCCCCGACAGTGGAAACGACAGTACTCAGATAAAAGGCACTATCACCTTGTTGACTATGGGTATACTAGTAGCCTACCTACCTAGCGTATATTAAAGTTGTTGCGGTTAAAAAGCTCGTAGTTGGATCTTGGGACCGGGCTTGCGGTCCGCCGCGAGGCGTGTCACTGCTCGTCCCGGCCCTCCCCGCCGGATTCTCCCTGGTGCTCTTAACTGAGTGCCTCGGGGTGCCGGAGCGTTTACTTTGAAAAAATTAGAGTGTTCAAAGCAGGCCTGGCGCCTGAATAGTGGTGCATGGAATAATGGAATAGGACCTCGGTTCTATTTCGTTGGTTTTCGGAACGTGAGGTAATGATCAAGAGGGACGGACGGGGGCATTCGTATTGCGGCGGGAGAGGTGAAATTCTTGGATCGCCGCAGGACGAACCACTGCGAAAGCATTTGCCAAGAATGTTTTCATTGATCAAGAACGAAAGTTGTGGGCGCGAAGGCGATCAGATACCGCCCTAGTCACAACCATAAACGATGCCAACCAGCGATCCGCCGGCGTTACTTCGATGACCCGATGGGCAGCTCCCGGGAAA